AACTAACCAATCTATATGGTTAATTTAATTTTTTTTTCTAGAAGCATTTAGTGTCTTGGGTACATTGGCATAATATTTGCAGGGAATATATGCCAGAGAAGAGATAAGAAAGCTGGGTCAATACAAAAGAGGGTTTGAAGTCTACCCTAATCAGGATCTAGGATGGTTAGGTTTACCAGATAACTGCCATATCTCTGGGGCCTCTAGTGAAAACGCAGCCATGTGTCACCATGTTTTGAGTTACGTCAACACTATCATCCAGACACCATTGGGTCAGGAATAGGAACCCAAAGGCAACCAACAAAGGATGGGGCTATGAGATGTGCCTGGTATGAAAAGTCTGCCCAAGGGTGATGTTTTTGTGTGTTACAACACAACTAATCCACTTTCTCTGTGATATGTACATGCTATAGTAGGGATGTGCATTATAAAACAATACCTGAACTAAGGGATAAAATCATAAGATAAAAATGTAACAAAAAGAACATTGGTGGATTGGAAGCATAAAGAAAATAAATGTAAGAAAAAGGGCAAGTTAAATTTTAAAATTTTACCTAGCATAGCTTAATTCTAATTTTTTTTTAAATGGCAGTTGTTGTTTTTTTTTTAAGAGCAGTTTTATATTTACATAAAAAGCACAAAGATAGTACAGAGAGTTCTCATATACTCCATACCCAGTTTCTCATATTATTATCATCTTATTTAGTATGGTACATTTGCTATAATTAATGGATCAATATAGATATATTATTATTAACTAAAGTCCTTAATTTACTCAGATTTCCTTGGTATTTACCTAATTTTTTTTAGCATCTTTATTGGAGTATAATTGCTTTACAATGGTGTGTTAGTTTCTGCTTTATAACAAAGTGAATCAGTTATACATATGCATATATCCCCATATCTCTTCCCTCTTGCACCTCCCTACCTCCCACCCTCCCTATCCCACCCCTCTAGGTGGTCACAAAGCACCGAGCTGATCTCCCTGTGCTATGCAGCTGCTTCCCACTAGCTATCTATTTTACGTTTCGTAGTGTATATATGTCCATGCCGCTCTCTCACTTTGTCCCAGCTTACCCTCCCCCATCCCCATATCCTCAAGTCCATTCTCTAGTAGGTCTGCGTCTTTATTCCCGTCTTGCCCCTAGATTCTTCATGACCATTTCTTTTTGTTTCTGTTTTTTAGATTCCATACATATGTGTTAGCATATGGTATTTGTTTTTCTCTTTCTGACTTACTTCACTCTGTATGACAGACTCTAGGTCCATCCACCTCACTACAAATAACTCAATTTCGTTTCTTTTTATGGCTGAGTAATATTCCATTGTATATATGTGCCACATCTTCTTCATCCATTCATCAGATGGACACTTAGGTTGCTTCCATGTCCTGGCTATTGTAAATAGAGCTGCAATGAACATTGTGGTACATGACTTTTTGAATTATGGCTTTCTCAGGGTATATGCCCAGTAGTGGGTCATATGGTAGTTCTATTTTTAGCTTTTTAAGGAACCTCCATTCTGTTCTCCATAGTGGCTGTATCAATTTATATTCCCACCAACAGTACAAGAGGGTTCCCTTTTCCCCACACCCTCCCCAGCATTTATTGTTTGTAGATTTTTTGATGATGGCCATTGTGACCAGTGTGAGATGATATCTTATTGTAGTTTTGATTTGCATTTCTCTAATGATTAATGATGTTGAGCATCCTTTCATGTGTTAGTTGGCAATCTGTATATCTTCTTTGGAAAAATGTCTATTTAGGTTTTCTGCCCATTTTTGGATTGGGTTGTTTCTTTTTTTGATATTGAGCTGCATGAGCTGCTTGTAAATTTTGGAGATTAATCCTTTATCAGTTGCTTCATTTGCAAATATTTTTTCCCATTCTGAGGGTTGTCTTTTTGTCTTGTTTATGGTTTCCTTTGCTGTGCAAAAGCTTTTAAGTTTCATTAGGTCCCATTTGTTTATTTTTGTTTTTATTTCCATTTCTCTAGGAGGTGGGTCAAAAAGGATCTTGCTGTGATTTATGTCATAGAGTGTTCTGCCTATGTTTTCCTCTAAGAGTTTGATAGTTTCTGGCCTTACATTTAGGTCTTTAATCCATTTTGAGCTTATTTTTGTGTATGGTGTTAGGGAGTGATCTAATCTCATACTTTTACATGTACCTGTCCAGTTTTCCCAGCACCACTTATTGAAGAGGCTGTCCTTTCTCCACTGTACGTTCCTGCCACCTTTATCAAAGATAAGGTGACCATATGTGCATGGGTTTATCTCTGGGCTTTCTATCCTATTCCATTGATCTATCTTTCTGTTTTCCCCTGCATCGGCAGGCGGACTCTCAACCACTGTGCCACCAGGGAAGCCCGAAAGCTGCTTTTTTTTTTTAATTATTTTTATTTATTTTTGGCTGTGTTGGGTCTTTGTTGCTGTGCACAGGCTTTCTCTAGTTGCGGCAAGCGGGGGCTACTCTTCGCTGTGGTGCGTGGGCTTCTCATTGCGGTGGCTTCTCTTGTTGCAGAGCATGGGCTCTAGGTGCATGGGCTTCGGTAATTGTGGCACACGGGCTCAGTATTTGTGGCTCACATGCTCAGTAGTTGTGGCACATGGGCTTAGTTGCTCTGCGGCATGTGGGATCTTCCCGGACCGGGGCACGAACCCGTGTCCCCTGCATTGGCAGGCGGACTCTTAACCACTGTGCCACCAGGGAAGCCCCCACCAAAGCTACTCTTATTAATATTATTTATGACCCCCCTGCTGCTAAAATCCAGAAGTTCATTCCTAGCCTTTTCTGCCTTGACCTGTCAGCAGTACTTGACCGAGCTAGTTACTCCTCCTCCTTGAAATACATTATTTAATTGACTTCCAGAATAACACATTCTCCTTTTTCTTCCACTTCTTCCCTGTCCATTCCTCAGTTTGTTTCCTTCTCATCTTCCCAGCCTCTAAACAGTGGAATCTTCCCAGGGCTCAGTTTTCAGGTGTTTCCTATTTATGCTCACTTCCTTGGTTATATCACCTAGTGCCATACTTTTAAATGCCATTTAGACTCTGGAAATTACCAGCTTGTACATTTATCCTGGACTCTTCTCCTGAACCTCTGCTCTAATAGTTTGGATGATTAATAGATGTGTGAAGCTCAACATGTCCAAAACCAGACTCCTAATATCTTACTCTTCTGCCTGTCCATTTGGAAGGGTAAAGCTAATTCATACAAACTCAGCTCTTGCAGTTGATTTCACCAGAAGACTTTGATGTCATCATTGATAGTCTGTGCAAATCCTGTTGGCTGTATCTTTCATATGACTTCTGAATCTGATCACTTTTTGCCTCCACTGCTATCACTCAGAATCAAGCCAGCATTCTTTCCATACTTTGTTGTAATAGTTTCTTAACTGATTTCCTTGCCTCTGCCCTTGGGCCCACTATAGACTGTTCTCGACACAGTAGCCGAGGAGATCTTATTTACAAAAAAATAAAAAGAGCTTATTTTTCCTGTTTAGAATAGAAGGCTAAATCCTTAAAATTTACCTTATTTACTTTATTTCCTACTATTCTGTCTAGCCCTGTTGGCTTCCTTGCTATTTCTAACTATCAGGCATGCACCCTACCCCATCCACAGGATCTTTGTGTTTATTTTTCTCTCTTTCTGGAATGTTCTTCTCACAAATGTCCCCCTGACTTAGGTCGTATGGTCTTCACTAGGGTCTTCAGGCCTTTACTCCCTAGATCTTTACTAGGACAGTCTTTGTGAGGTCCCAATTGACTACTGTATTTAAGATTACAGCTCATGCCCTACATACCCCTGCCACTCCACCCAGCAGCACTTCTTATCTCCTTTATTTTCTTCCCATGGTATTTACCATCCTTCGATATACTGTATATTTTACCTATTTATTTTGGGCGGGCAGGTGTGTGTGTGTGTGTGTGTGTGTGTGTGTGTGTGTGTGTGTGTGTGTGTGTGTGTGTGTGTGTGTGTGTGTGTGTGTTTTAACATCTTTATTGGAGTATAATTGCTTTACAATGGTGTGTTAGTTTCTGCTTTATAACAAAGTGAATCAGCTATACATATACATATATCCCCATATCTCCTCCCTCTTGCATCTCCCTCCCACCCTCCCTATCCCACCCCTCTCTGTGGTCACAAAGCACTGAGCTGATCTCCCTGTGCTATGCGGCTGCTTCCCACTAGCTATCTATTTTACATTTGGTAGTATTTATAAGTCCATGCCACTCTCTCACTTCATCCCAGCTTAACCTTCCCCCTCCCTGTGTCCTCAATTGAGTCCATTCTCTACTTCTGCGTCTTTATTCCTGTCCTGCCCCTAGGTTCTTCAGAACCATGTTTTTTGTTTTGTTTTTTTTTTTTGGTTTTTTTTTTTTTTTAGATTCCATATATATGTGTTAGCATACGGTATTTGTTTTTCTTTCTGACTTACTTCACTCTGTATGACAGACTCCAGGTGTGTGTTTTTAAATCTCTCTCTCCTTACTAGAATGTAAATTTTACTAGAATATAAGTTCTACAAGGGTAGGAATTTATTCATTTATCTACCCTGATTTATTATGAAGCAATGAATGAGTATGAGGACTAGAATTCTGTTTTGTTTGGCCTCATAGATAAACTAGACTATCATTAGTTCATGTGTATTGGTCCTTTGTTTTATATATACATCCCTACCTTTACCCTATTTCTACTCAAAAGCCATTGGAATTGATAAAGTTCTGTAGATTTTGGACATGTGGAATGAATAATCATATGTATTTAATGTCTAGTCATACAGTGGTAGTAATGACTGCTACATTCTGAAATTTACCTTCAAATATAGCTGTGGCATTATATTTGATTTTTCTACTTTTACAAAGGGTATGTGTGTGTGTGTAATGTCACTGTATATATATCCTGTGTGTGTGTGTGTGTGTGTGTGTGTGTGTGTGTATATATATATATATATATATACACACATATATATATGTATATATATAAAAAATTTTTAAACAGGTCATCAGAACACCTCATGGGAGAGACTTCGATGCCTCTTTGGAAAGATGTGATGACTATTTGAGTTCAAGGTCACGTAGCAAGCCCCAGCATTCATCCAGGACCTTACTCGTTCATTCAGCACGCTCTACAATGCCGAAGCATTCTCCAAGCCCTGTGTTAAATCGTGCTTCTCTCAGGGAAAGGTAATGCTTGGTCTCTATTTCTGTACTAAATTTTTGAATAATCATCATTAGAAAAGAGCAGGCAGGGCTTCCCTGGTGGCGCAGTGGTTGAGAGTCCGCCTGCCGATGCAGGGGACACGGGTTCGTGCCCTGGTCCAGGAAGATCCCACATGCCTCGGAGCGGCTGGGCCCGTGAGCCATGGCCACTGAGCCTGCGCGTCCGGAGCCTGTGCTCTGCAACGGGAGAGGCCACAACAGTGAGAGGCCTGTGTGCCGCCAAAAAAAAAAAATAGAAAAGAGCAGGCAGTAATTATGTATGTGATGTGATTGTTTGTAACGGGATAATCTGATTTTAAGAGACTTACTTTAAATTGTTTTTGTTTAGAACATATTGCATATTATACAATGCTAGATACTCCTCCCCAGCCCAGTTCTCTCAAAGTGAGTTTATTAACTATTAGTGAGTTTATTAATTAGGGTCACTTTAACCCTAATTAAATTTTGTAGTTCCCAAGTGAAAAATAGAGTATATGATAGTTTGTTTTTAGTAGATTCATAGAGATTTAATATTATAGTCATGGCTTATGTATAAAAATAGCATAGGTTATATTTTCCTTTTAGTGATAATGATGATACTATATATTATTGGTACATGGCGCCTATTTTCCTCAAATTACCTACCCCCAACTTGCCAAGAGAATCTTAATCGTCTTTCTATCTTAACCTTATGTAAAGATTCTAGTTCTCCCTCTAAAAATGCTTTGGCAAACAAAGTTAGACACTTGTTATAATTTGAATGTGAAAGAAATAATTCCTCTTCATCTGTTTTTGTTGTTGTTGAATCCAAATTGGGAACTCCTTGCCTCCCTCATGGTAACATAGAAAACAAGAGTTGTCATAAATTAAAAAACAAAACGAAAAACCCAACCCTGGGTATTTAAGAAATTTTATAGAAATTTGAAAACCTAAGAGATATGCCGTCAACACATAGAAGTAAAACCTATCTTTTCAAATGGTATCAAAAAGCTAAAGTACCACACCAAATTCCTGCAGCATACTTAGGGCTATCAGGCATAAATAAGAAAGTTTAAATTAGCTGTAGAGAGTCTATCAAAAGTTCATCTCAAAACTGATGATTCAAACAAGAGTATATCAGTTTGGAAACTGTATTAAAACATCTCTGTCTTGAACAGATAGATTTATCTGTTTCCTCATTATGTCTTGAACAGATAGATTTATCTGTTTCCTCATTACCTCATCATATATGAAGGTATGCTAGAGACCCTCATCCTGAGACAGGGAATTTTGATGAATGTTGCTTCAAGTGTATTAGAATTATGCCTATGGAGATCAAGTTCAGGTAGATAGGTAGGTAGGTAGGTCGGTAGATACATAGATAGATACATAGATAGATAGATACATAGATACATAGATAGATACATCTGTATATTTACATAGGGAGATATATGTCTGTGTATCTATAGGCTTTAAAAGTTCAAGAGAAGCTCTTGAAGAGAGGTTTTTCTACTGAAGTCTGGTAACTTGCATCTCAGTTTTCAGGGACTTTCTTTGATTTCCATGTCTGCTCAGATGTTCAGATATTCAGTTATTCAGTTGGTGTACACTCTTTTTCCCTACTTTTAGAATTAAGCACTTGTGGTTTTCTCTTTTTTTTTTTTTTTTTTTTTTTTGTGGTATGTGGGCCTCTCACTGTTGTGACCTCTCCCGTTGTGGAGCACAGGCTCCAGACACGCAGGCTCAGCGGCCATGGCTCACAGGCCCAGCCGCTCCGCGGCATGTGGGATCCTCCCAGACCGGGGCACAAACCCGTGTCCCCTGCATCGGCAGGCGGACTCTCAACCACTGCGCCACCAGGGAAGCCCTTGTGGTTTTCTTGATTAGGTTCTTTGCCATATCTGTAGGTTTTCAAGAATTTTTTTTACCTGTATCTCCTTGGATATGTTTTTATAAATATTGATTTATTTTTCTACCTTTTTGCATATTTTGCAGAACTCTCCAGTTGTCTACTACTATAGTAAAATATCAGTTTTAGTCTTGTGTTATTTTATCTTTGTATATAATTGTCCCAGCTTTTGAAGCCAGGTTGATAAATTCTTCACTGAGGCTATTTTCAAAAATTCTTTATTGAGGGTAGCTAAAGTCAACTGTCCCTTTTTCATATTTCAATGCAGGGGATGGTTTAGAGTAGGTAACAGCATTTACACATTTATTTTGATGTTGGATAGTAGATATAGATAAATAAGTTCTTTGCCAGAAGGATATCAGTGATTCAAATATTAAACATTACATATTTTACTTATGACTTGAGGAAATTTGAGGTACTTTAAAATAAAAGAATATAATGGCAATTTAGTTTGAATACATCTAAATAAGTTAATAAAATTTTATTGGGGTACTTTCCAGGGTAAATAAACTTTTTTACTTTCACTAACGTAGAACACCTCTGCTTTGAGTGTATTTGCTAAAAAAGATCTAGATCTAGTCTATAGAAGAAAGTAAAATATGTCAAACAATATGTCTTTAAGACATTACTAGGAACAAAAACATTTTGTTCTTTTTAGCACACTCGGTACCATATCTTTAAATATAAGACATTCTCTGATCTGACTTTTAGGTCACCGAGAAATATACTATGTTTATACAATCCATTGGAATCAATAAACAATTTAAACTGATGTAAATGTAGATTTTATGTCCCAGGCAAAATTGGGAATATGACAGAACATACAGCTCTGGTTTATCTGGGTAAATCTTCATTAAAGTTAAATAAGTTTTCCTCTAAGATTGCTGTAAAAAGCTGACTCCTTAACCATGTATATGAATAAACAAACAGACTTTTGAAAACTTAACCAGTGATTCTAAGCAAATGAATTTATTTATAGTGAAAGTCCTTTTTGCTTTAAGCCTATTTAAAGAATATCTCCAATAGGGTTAGCACACCATACAAGGGTTTCAATTTTGATTATAAGTGTTACATTTCAGAAGCAGTTTTCTCCTTAAAGTATAAATATTAATATTATGACTTATAATTTATATTAGCTTGTAGAGTTATTACTAAAATCAGACTAAGAAATAATAGAAAATCTAATTTAAAAGGAGCTGATATTCTTTTTAATCATGCTAAAGGTTTTGCTTTTTGTAAATGGAGTTAGATTGCTAGGTAATCATTTCTTATACCACAGCACAGACTAGTGGATCCTCTCATAGTATCATTGAAGAGATCCTCTTGGAGCTGGATATTTGGGTCTCTGATTTTCAAGATGTGTTACATATGTAGCAAATAGCAAGGTCTGCCGATATATTTCCATAAATGCAGCAACACTTCCTATTACAAATGCAGATTAAAATTTATATATAGTTCATCATCCATTACTGATTGCATTCTTTAAAACAGATTATGTAAATCATTTATCCTGCTTAACAGTTTATACTTTGTGTAAACACATACAATTATAACTTTGTAAGAACAAACTGGGAGCTAGAAAGTTTTAAGCAACCTATTAACATTTTAGTACTCATTCCTTTATAAAGGAATTATCAAGAATATGTCATGTAGATGCATTATAATCAGATGGATGTGGAAATTTTCATTATTACTTGTATAAAACAAATAAAGTAGCTTAATTATACAAGTGCCAGTTTTGAGTTTGGGAAGAGGGCATGAGAAAGAGGAATAGTTGCTTTCCTTCTTCTTTGACATGTTTAATTTCAAGACTGGAAAATAAGAACTAATTTTAAAGGCACTATAGGTGGAGTTATTGCTCTAATATAAAAATTTATATCTTTATTTAAAGATAAACCTCTAAAGAATTATGTATGGAAATTGTTAAAATGGTCAGATATATAGATATGCTCTCCCCAAATCATGTCAAACTTTATTATTAAGACTGTTAATGGAACATATTGTGAGGACTTAATACTGCAGTTGAGAATTGGTACCTGATTTTATATCTGCCTCTCGTCCTCGGTCAAAGAAAGAAAATATGTTATTTTAATCTTTTTATGTTATCACATAGAGATAAGAAAAAATAACTTTCTGTGTCTGGCATTTGGAAAGATTTACTTTTCTCTCCCTCTGGCTACAAGTCACCTTTGTTTTTTATGCCTACAGATTCCATTCTGATTGGTGTTCACCTTCAAACTGCGATGAGATCCATGACCGGGTAAAGAATGTCTTGAAATCACATCAGGCTCATCAGAGACATTTATATGTTAGTTTCTAAATTTTTCTTTTGAAGGCTTTTTATAATTAGGCATGAAAACCACCCAAGATGCTTAAAGCTCACAAAGTTTAATCACTGGGAAGGAATAGAAAAGATACAACCTCCATTTAATGGAAGTCAGTGGTTTTGCTAAAGGCAATGTATCTAACTTCCTGCTTGACCTGAGTCATTATGCAAAATGTTTGACACAGATCATGTGAACTATAAAAAATGTTAGTGATAACTATCTCATAAAGAGTCAGTAAGTAGTGACTTTATGATAATTTTTTCACAGCCTTCAAAATATGGGAACCCTTGTTTTGTGGCCCAGAATAAAGCAATTCCATTTCCTGCAAACAGATTTGATTAAATGGTAGAACGAGAGATGGGATGAGACACATGTATTTTGGAGAAGTTTCCCAGCTGATTTTTATGTTAATTAAAACTTAAAAGAGGAAAAGAAGAGGTCAGGTTTATCAGGTTTAATATTAGAGAAGATCAGTATGAGAATACTTTCTGACATAAGGCAAATAAACATATATATGAACAACAGCTGGGAGATAATTACAGTATATTATTCTTTTTGTGTTTGATTTCTTGTTTCAGTCATTAATTTAAAAACAATTGTTTATCATGAGTCATGTTGGACACCAAGCTTAGTCCTGGGATATAACTGGATTATGTGACATTGACATCAGTTTGTACTGTTGAAAGTTTCTGTATGCATATTGATTTTAAATTAAATTTGTTTTCAAAGTGTAATATAGATAGTCCCAGTGACTGTCACTCCCAGTGTTAACATTATCCTAACTTCTAATAGCAAGATTAGTATTGTATATTTTTGATCTTTATACAAATGACATCCAACCATGTTTTTTCCCTTCTTTTCTTAGTTACTTCATTTTGTTTTTTCAATTCAGACATTTTTGCAATACAGACATCTTGTTATATAGCTCTGCACTCTTGCTGCTGCATGGTATTTCATTGCGTGAAAATACTGCCATTGATTTATGCGTTCCTCTATTTATGGACATGTGGGTTGTTTCTGGTTTGAGCTATTTTAGAACTGCTATGAACAGCTTATTAATCCTTGGGTAACCTTGTATACATTTTATTTGGGTATGTCCCTACCAGTGGAATTGCTCGTAGAGTGTGTAAACATTAAGCTTTACTAGATACCACCAAAGACTTTTCCAAGTGATTTTAACAGTTTACACTCCCACCACCAGCCTGTGTGAATTCAGTTTGTCCTCGCTGCTACTGATAGGTTGTGTGTGTGTGTATTTCAATTTTGGCATTTTGATAGTGAGAAATGGTTTTATAACATAATGGTTTTAATTTGCTATTTCTTGATGACTAGTACATATGTTTATTGGCTATTTGGATATCCTCTTTTGTGAGTACTTGTTCAAGTTATTTGCCTATTTTTGTACTGAGTTGTCTCTTTTTTTGTTTTGTTAAAGTTCCATATTGATTTGTGATATGTCAGGTATATGTTTTGCAATTTTCTTTTTCCACTCTGTGCCTTGCCTTTTCATTCTCTTAATGGTATCTTTTGATGAAAAGTTTTTACATACAATGAATCAAATTTATCTTTTTTTATTAGCATTTTTACAATTTTTGTCTTGTCAACAGAAATAATAAATTCAAAATAGGAATAGAGAAGAGTTTTATTAGAGCCAGACTGAGGACTATAGCTGAGGACACTTGAATTGTGAAGTAGAAGTACTTGAATTGTGTTCTGCCAGACAACAAAGTGGAGGAGGCTTATATCAGCAAAAACCGCAGAGTTACATTTAGGTAGATGAGTTAAGTAAGGATTGGTTAGGGTCCGAAATGGCTGTATAGTCACAGGGGGAGACCTTGAGACCTTAAGGTTGCAGCTGGCTGCAGCTGCAGATGTTGTTTTGAGAACTGCTGGTGGTATCCTTGAGTTTGATACAGTTCAGAAAATTTCAAGGTCTTAGTGATGCAGGAACGTGTCTGAAACCACATCCACAGTGACCAACTGGCTCCATTTTGGATGCCTGAACTGCAGTTTCATATCTTGTCAGAACAAAGAACAAACATCAGACATGACAGGGGTACAGTCCTTCAAAGTTTCCAAAGAGACTGATTAGCACATACACAGCGAGTCAGCATGACCCCAGTGTCTGAGAAGGGAACCGCATCTTCGAAGGACTACTAGCATTAGTGTCATAGAAAGGGCCCACATTTATCCCTATCTTCCAAGTGGACATTCTAAACAGTCTGGTAAGTGCAAAGTCCTTTTTTGTTGTTTGTTGTTGTTGTTGTTTTTAGTTAAAGCAATTGTACAATGTACATTTGACAGACCATAAGACTGCTGGCTCTAGTTAGCATAAAGTTCAAGTCAAATGATGTACAAGCCAGAATGATTCCCCATACCTCAATATGTGAAAATTTCTTCCATCAGTCTAGTTCAAGATTCTATCATATGTTTTCTTCTAAAGGCTTTTTGTTGGAATTAATTTTTTCTGTATAGTGGTAGGTAGGTGTCAAATTTCATGAAAGTTTCAAGTTTTATGATTGTGAATATGTCTGTTTTTCTTTCTAGTTCTGTTAATTTTATTTTATGTATTTTGAAGCCAAATTGTTAGTTGGATACAGATTTCAGACTATGATACAAACCTCTTATGTAAAGGTTCCCTTTTTGTTTCTAGTAATATTTCTTGTTTCACAGTATGTTTTGTCTACTAGTTGTATAGTTATAGCAGCTTTCTTTTCCCTAGTATATGCATGGTGTATATTTTTCCATCCTTTGCTTTTTATCAATATATTTAAAGTGCGTATCTTGTGAATAGCACATGAGAGTTCTTTCCAATAATGAAAATCTAGAATTTTTATGTAGATTGATGCAGCTTTTATTTGGATAGTAACTTTTTAATTATCCATTTCCTTTTTATTAACTCATGATTCATTTTTTTACTATTCTGTTATTCATTTCCCTAGAGATTTCAACTTGCGTATATAACAAATTATTTCTTTGTTGACCTCCCCAGTAATGTTGGGACCTAAAAACAGTTAACTCTTTTATTAACCCACCTCTTCTTTTTTTTTGCCGTACGCGGGCCTCTCACTGTTGTGGCCTCTCCCATTGCAGAGCACAGGCTCCGGACGCGCAGGCTCAGCGGCCATGGCTCACGGGCCCAGCCGCTCCGCGGCATGTGGGATCTTCCCGGACCGGGGCACGAACCCGTGTCCCCTGCATCAGCAGATGGACTTTCAACCACTGCGCCACCAGGGAAGCCCCCACCTCTTCTTCTGAACATCTATTATCATGAATTTTGATTCTACTTATATAAAACACACAACTAATTAATTTTGTTTGCATAGTAATGTTTATTCATTTTAATCACATATTTACCCTTTCTATTATTCTTCATCCTTTCGTGCAATTCCATATTCCCATTTGGATTTTTGAGTCATTTTCCTCCTGCCCAAAAAACTCCCTTTAGTACTTTCTTTCATGTTATTATCCTGGCTTTGAATTCCAGTTTTGTTTGTTTGAAAACATGATTTTACTTCTATGTAGGGTGGTTTTACTAGATATAAAGTTATAAATTTCTAGGTTGGTGGTTATTTTCTTTGGCACTTTTTTTTTTTTTTTTTTTGCCACACCACATGGCTTATGGGATCTTAGCTTTCTGACCAGGGATTGAACCTGTGCCCTTGGCAGTGAAAGCAGTGAAAGTGGAATCCTAACCACTGCACTGCCAGGGAATTCCTTCCTTGGGCACTTCAAAGAAGCCATTCATTTGTGTCAGTTGAAAAGTCAGCTGTCATTCCTTTGCAGTAATGTGGGGTTTCCCCCCTCTGTTGCAATTAAGATTTGCTCTTCAGCTTCGTGTTTAGTAATCGTACTGTGATATACCTAGATGTAATTTTCTTGGATCAATTCTACTTTAAGTTTGCAGAGCTTCTTAAATTTTTAGGTTGATGTCTTTCATCAGTTTTGGAAAACCTGTTCATTCTTTCTTTAAACATTGCTTCTGCCCCAATATCTATTTACTGTCCATCTGGAATTTCCAGTTACATTTATATAAGGTCTTTAGACTGTGTATCATATGCTTATTTTGATGTTTTTAATTCTTTTTTTTTTCTCTCTCTCTCTCTTTCTAGTTTAGATACTTTCTTTTGAAATGTCCTCTAGTTTGCTAATCCTGTCTTCTGCTCTGTTTACATTGCTGTTAAAACTATTTGAAACTTCTTGAAAGACATAACTTTCAAGAACATCTTGAAAGACATAAACTACCGAGGCTAACTCAAAAAGAAATAGATAATTGCAATGGTTGTATATCTATTAAAGAAATTTAATTTAAAGTTAGGAATCTTCCGTAAAAGAAAACCCTAAGCTCAGAGGCTTTCTCTAGTGAATTCTACCAAACCTTTAAGGAAAACATAATGCCAGTTTTACACATTCCTGAAAATAGAAGAAAGAATACTCCCCAGGTCATCTTATGATATCAACATTTCTTCTGATGCCAAAACCAGACAATGACATTACAAGAAAAGAAAAATACAGACCAAAATCCTTCATGAACATATATGTAAAAATCCCTAACAACATATTAGCAAATTAGAACCAGAAATATAAAAATGAAAATACATCCTAATCATGTGGGCTTATTCCAGAAATGCAATGTAAATTCCTCCTATTAACAGATTAAATACATATTTGTTCTCAGTGTCATTTCAATAGGCAGAAAAAGTATCCAAAAAAATTCAACTCTATTCATGATAAACACTCTTAGTAAAGTTGAGGTAGAAGGATACTTCGTTAACCTAATAAAGACCATCTGTGAAAAACCTACAGCTAACATTATACTTAATGGTGAAAGACTGAATACTTTCCCCCTAAGCTCAGAAACAAGGCAAGCATGCCCTCTCTCACCATTCCTTTAACATCATACTGGGAGTCTTAGATAATGCAGACAGGCAAG